CCTTCCAGTACCTAAAGGGGCTACAGGAAAGCTGGAGAGGGGCTTTGTTCAAGGGTGTGTAGTGACAGGACATGGGGCAATGGCTTTAAACTGAAAGAGGGCAGATTTCATTTAGATCTAAGGAAGAAATTTTTCACACTGAGGGTGGTGAGGCACTGGAACAAGTTGCCCAGAGAAGCTGTGGCTGCCCCATCCCTGGAAGTGTTCCAGGCCAGGTTGGATGGGGCTTTGAGCAACCTGGTGTAGTGGAGGGTGTCCCTGCCCATGGCAGGGGGGTTGGAACTAGATGGTCTTTGAGGTCCCTTCCAACCCAAACCATTCCATGACTCTATGATTTTCTTTAATGAAGAAAATTTGTATGGAAGAGAGTCCTAGCCCCCAACCTCTCCCCAGAAACGTGACCGTGGCATGTCCCATCCAGACTGGTAAATGGTACGGAGGAATGTGGCCCTGAAAGGCCCACTGTGCCTGTAGGAAGGTCTCAAGGAACAGATGCTTCCTACTGAAGAATTAACTTTTATGAGATGTTCATACTTTATTGCTGCTCAGAGTGCAGAGAAACAGGGTCCCTGCACGGGTGTGCTACCAGGAGGTGGTCACTAACACAACTATCGATAAATTCAGCATCAGACCCAAGTTCCTGAGTATATATTGCAACATCTTTCCACCAGCTGTCTGGATGCAGACAGTTGACAAGAGCAGCCATACAGTGAAAATTCCTTTCGCAGCCTTTGAAACCATCTTGTTGCACAGCAAGACCTGCACAGAAGGGACTATTGCTAGTTTAAACCAAGAATTCTGTTAGGATGCACATGATCAAAGATCCTAAAAAACGTCTGAAATTTTTGCACTGCAAATTGAAGGTGAGGCTAATTAGCATTAGGCGTTTATTACCACCTGCATCGTTTCCTTAAGGACAGACTAATCAGCAGAAGATATTTTCCCCAAAAGAAAGAAAAGTGCTGGAAAAGAAAGAAAAATTGCTGGAACAGAAATGCACTCCCTTCTAATTTTGGATAGCCCAGTCTAAGCTTTCCAGAAAGAAAGGAGAACTTGGAGCAAAGATAATGCTCTGGAAGTAAATTTGTTGTTCTCGAATTTTGAAAGCAAACAGCTAGCTCCAAATCAACACTGAACATGGCTAAATTGAAGCAACATTCCACTAAAAGACGTTTCATCATCACAGAGGTCCATTTTCTGAGTAATGAACTGCTGCACAAGTATTTTACCTGTTTTCTTGAAGTTGCACAAGACCATAAAAAAAAAAAAAGAGACAATCATGTATGCATGTACATGCAAATATTTTCCACAGTTATTAACACAGGTATGGGGTTTTTTTTTATTTGTATGGTTTCTTGTCTCCAACTCTACTCCCAAATTGCCACGGGATCCGGGATAAGTCTCTCTCCCCAGAATAAAAAGCAGCAGCTGCAGCTCCACACTCCTGCTCACAAGAGACACAAGCTGCTCCGACACATCGGAGGTGGCAGAATTCCCTGGATTCGGATGGCACCGAAGCCTTCGGCGCTTGATGACTGCCACCTTACGTCGCGGGCCGGAGCGACACGCTCCTTCCGGGCATGGCGACGCGCTGCGGAAGCATTCCGCTCCCCCTTCCGACTAAATAACCTGCTCATTCCGCTTTTTCAGTGAGTCTAGCTACATTAAGATGCTCTTTTTCATCAGATTTCAGAAGGACAGAGGGGTCTTAAGGGTCTTGCTTGTCTGTTTTTCTTTTGACCTGCACCTCCTCCTGACCTTCTCGCTCCCGGTTCTTACCTCCTCTGTTCGTGGAGGCAGACACAGGACGTGACAACGGCGAGGACAGCAGCACATTGTCCATCTGTTCACAGCTGGGCGTTCGTGACCTGTGCTCTCACCTATTTTTCACTCAGCTCTCTAGTAGGCCGAAGAAAGGATAGAATCATGGAATGGTTTGGGTTGGAAGGGACCTCAAAGATCACCCAGTTCCAACCCCCCTGCCATGGGCAGGGACACCCTCCACTACACCAGGTTGCCCAAAGCCTCATCCAGCCTGGCCTTGAACACTTCCAGGGATGGGGCATCCACAACTTCTCTGGGCAACCTGTTCCAGTACCTCACCACCCTCACAGTGAAGAATTTCTTCCTTATATCCAATCTAAATCTCCCCTCTTTCAGTTTAAAGCCATTGCTCCTTGTCCTGTCACTACACACCCTTGTAAAAAGTCCCTCTCCAGCGTTCCTGCAGGCCCCCTTTAGGTACTGGAAGGCTGCAAGAAGTTGATTTAAAGGGTGATCTAGCACACCCACCACTTTGACTCCACCACGAGCACAACCAGAGGTTTCCACCAACTCCCACACAAACCTCACGTTTCCAGACACCAGAGTGCCCGTTCGACAGCACAATGTCTTAAGCCAGCTTGGCTGCAGAGTGGTCGCTATCGAAGCCCTTTCCTTCAGCCCACCTTTCCTTCACACCATCTCCTCCCCAATGCTGGGCTTACTCGTGTCTGCAGCTGTCAAATTTTAACCCATTCATGGCAAAACCAACAGAGGCATCTCCTTTGTGCTGGCTAGTGCCATCAGTCGGATTTTTCCAAGTGAATCCCAGAAGTAACTGAGACAAACAGTACTTGTACTGCTTACCTAGTGATAACTCTGCTTCAGGTGAAAGAAACCATGTCATGTATTACACATGACCTCAACATTCCTGCGTCACTCAGAGCCTCAGTGATGAACACAGGGTATCTCTCTGCATCCCCTACCAAAGGAGAGCAAAAAAGCCAACCAAGTGTTTGACAATTATGCTTCAACTGACTTACTACACAGTTCTTCTACCACTGGAGACATCCAACTTGAATCCTCAGCAAGCAAAATTTTAAAGGAGCAAAACTTCTTTGCTGTCTTCTCTGCTATAATCAACTTTATGGATCGCTCTATAAACGTGAACGTTACTTCTAATTTCAGTCTGCCAACTAAAAGGAAATCAAAGTGTTTTCCAACAAGTTATCAAGCAAAAAAAAACACCCCAACCATACATCCTCAAACATGCACGAATCACTTTTGTTTCTGAAATACAAACATCATTAATATCCTTCTGCTGAGCACTAGCCAGACCTACTTTAATATATTGAATATAGAAATAAAGCCCCAAGGACACCAAGAATGCAACAACACCCACCACATGTTATAAATGTATCAACACCAAAGCTGAATTTGCTGGTTATAAGTTCAGTTACTTCTAAATTAGTTTGTATCCAATATCTTTGTTTCCTCCATGCCACAACAGATTTTATTTTTTTTTTCCTATTTTAATTCTCCCCATCATACTGATTCACACAAGATCAACATCAAACAGATAACTGAGTTGTGACTGCTCACGTGACCAGCTCAAAAGAGTAAACAATACACAAAACCAGCACAGGCACCTCATCCCTAATTTTGAACCAAGTACAGGGATGGTTACATCCACGACACTGCAAAGGCAGTTTGGAAGCCTGTGCAGATGGAGAACCTCTGCTGTTGTGCTTTCACTGACACAAATGTCCCTTGTCAAGTCATGGCAACAGATGGAGACCAGCCACTCCAACCAGGTGTGGTTCAAAGGGTGCTGGTCTGATATTTTATCTTCACGCCTATTACCTGGAATATCTTCCTACAGCTACAGTGCTGTTCCCAAACTACAGCATTGCTGTAAAAGAGTAAGGATGGGAAACCAAACAAGAAGGACATGGAGCTGTTGGAGCGGGTCCAGAGGAGGCCACGAAGATGATGCGAGGGCTGGAGCACCTCTGCCATGGAGACAGGCTGAGTTCAGCCTGGAGAAGAGAAAGCTCCAGGGAGACCTCCTAGCAGCCTTCCAGTACCTAAAGGGGCTACAAGAAACCTGGAGAGGGACTTTTTGCAAGGCCACGTGGTGACAGGACAAGGGGCAATGGGTTTAAACGGAAAGAGGGGAGATTTAGATCAGATCTAAGGAAGAAATTTTTCACTCTGAGGGTGGTGAGGCACTGGAACGGGTTGCCCAGAAGCCTTGTGGCTGCCCCATCCCTGGCAGTGTTCCAGGCCAGGTTGGATGAGGCTTTGGGCAACCTGGTGTAGTGGAGGGTGTCCCTGCCCATGGCAGGGGGGTTGGAACTGGATGATCTTTGAGGTCCCTTCCAACCCAAACCATTCTATGATTCTAAACATCCTAGACAGAGTTCTCGGACTGGCTGGCTGAACTACTGACTTTGGATTCGTGCAACAAACCAAGGCATTTACAATCACCCCAGGACAGAAACGTCCTTTTCCTGTTCCTACAGAGCACCGACTACGCCACCTAAAGCGTGCCCTTCCCTCGTTACAACAAAGCAGGTTTGCCACAACAAGGCAGGTTTGCTGTTACAGCTCCGGCCTCGGGGATCCTGCAACAGCCTGCTCTGGTCTAGAGCCACCATGAGTTTGGACTGGTCTGTAATTTAGTTTTCCACGGCTACATTTCAGCACCTTTGCTCTGAACAGGTTTTAATAACACCAGAGACTCAAATCAAACACATGCAGAAATCAAGCCTGCCACGCTGAAGCGCCGAAGTAACCAGATAACACGACGTGTCACGGGGACGCTTGAAACCCACAGTCTGCCATTTCTGCCACAAATGATTTTTAACAAGGACATTTTAACAAGCAGCTCATTGTTTTAACTCAACAGCCTCTTCTCAAACTGTGCAGGAAGAGGACACCATTACGAGACACAGCAGCTGGCTGTCCCTTGATGGTCTGTGTGGGTCAGCAAGTCAAAAGATGGAAATACATCAGCTGGGCACAAGAGCATCAATGGAAGAAAAATAAAATATAAGTAGACTCTTTACAGTAATACTGCTCTAATAAAAATTTTGTTCTCTCCATTAAAATTCTCCTAAGTCAAACTCTCCTAACATGGTTATGTTTGGAAGTACTTAACTCCTCCTCACATCACATCCAACTCAGGGCTGACCACAGAAAGCTTGCAGTCAAAGCACAAAAGCCTTCTTCTTTACCTTTTGCTCTCTTTCACTGCTTTGTCCAAATGCTGGAAAATATCCTGGAATAAAATGCAGCTGGAGCGACTGTTGATGTCATAGCCATATCCTCTCTTCCAGTATTGCTTCAGGTCGTTCAGGTATTCCAGTACCTAAAGGTAGAGAGTTCACAAACTCTTATTATTGCACTGTAGAGAAAAATAAAAACCACACAACCTGGAGCAACGACGCTACGTGAAACCAACAATTCTTTGACACAAAAAAAAACCCAAACCAAACATCAAGGCTCCGGTTCAAACTGCTTCAGCATAAAACCAGACACAACAGACAGATGAAAGAGCCACCAAACTCAGCATCTTGTCTCCAGTCACGCTCATCATCAGGAAAACAGCAGGCAGACTTTCCCAGACTCCAGATATTTTCAGCCCAGGGCTCTGGTTTTCTACAAATTTAACAGACTTCAGTGGATTCTCTCCCACAATTAACCCAATCGACCCTCTGAATAGATCAAGTTTTAGCCTTTATAGTATCACGATGCTGTCCTTGTTCCTTTTTTCACAATTCCTAAAATTAAAGATGGGGTTTTTACTGTAGGTGAGCTGTCGTTTTCATGGATCTATGTCACCAGAATTTCACTTTCTGGTGGCACACCGGATCCGAGAGCTGGCCACCTTGTAGATGACGTTCCAACTCTTACGCCGTGCAGATCACTTCGCAGTGATCCATCCGCCACGGAATTGCTGTGTATTCCACCCTCGCAGGGCCCCTCCAACACCCCACATTCTCACTATCTCAAGTAACTCCATACATTCAGGAAGCTTTCTCACCTCACCACTAAGTTAGTTATAAACATGTTGAACAGCACAGTCTCAGCACAAGGCCATGGTGACCCTTCTCCTCTGAGGGGAGAGCATTCACTCCTAAATCCACTGCCTACCCTTTAGCCCACCACCTATCCATGTATCCTCTTTCCCAGGGGTGCTACCTTTCCTTAAGAGCCTTGGAGGGCCTTGCTGAACATCAAAGGGTACATCAGGCACAGTTTGAAAGAAGAGGAACCAGCATAAGTCTCATTTATCTGGATTCTACTAGTCTTACTGACGGGCTCTAGGTTTAGAGATCTGACACTCCCCGAAACCACGTAAGAAGAGCCTTAGAGGACCCAGACGACCTCATTTGATGTCCTCTGGAACCAGGGTGTGTTATCACCTGATTATCACATGCAAAACACAGCTGTCCAGGGCATTTCTGATGTTGCAGAAATAAAAGCACGTTAAGAGTGAAGCACAATAGGAGAAGACCGTTTTACTCGGGACAAATCGAGACTGCACCAGTGTTTGAGAGAAGAAGGGTACTTCGGTCTTGCTGCTTGATTAATCCAGAGCAATTTGGTGTCCCAAAAGCTTCATTAGACTGAAGAAGAAGGGGCACACAGGTTGCAACTTCTGACTGTGCAAAGAGTTGTATCTGAACTCTAAGGCACCTTTTGATGGCTTCTCAAACATCTCGTCCATTCAGCACCTACCTTGGCATCTTCTTCGCTGAAGAGTGAACACCACGGAGAGGTCACGTTCTTTATAGCCAACTCATACGAGCACGTGAGAAAAGCCACTTGAACGAGATCTGCAACAAGTCCAACAAACAAGCAAAAGATGAACCACTGCTGACGAGTTGCAACTTTTATCTCCACGTGCCTCTACAACGAAATGTAATTACAATTCAGCAAGGCAAACGACGTAATTTGTTTGCAGTCCGAAGGCCACACACCAAAACCAAGCAGTTTCCAACAGAATTATTGTCCATAATCCAAATTTCGGACCGCAAGCTCCTCACATCCCATGACTACAAGGGGGAAACGAGAGCATTTCACATCAAACTCTGTATGTCTGCTGATGCACACGCAGGTGTGGACTGCTAGTGTGTCCTCATCGCCACGGAAGACAACGGAGTCAACACGAGGAAGGCGTCTCTTCAACGTGGAGCAGTCTGACTACTCATCCTCCACGTTACTGGCCCAGTTTAAACAGCAGCACGCTGCAACTTTGGGATTTAGGGATAGGATTTGGGGATTTAGGCTTTAGGGATACGCTGGAGACGACAGCAACACCTATTTTGCGGGGGCCCCACCACCACTTGGTCACCCAGGGAAACCTGGCACTTCTGGACAAGTGATGTGACAACGCAGACATACAGGCCCACCTTCTCCCGAGGTTATTTGCGCGCTGGGATAACACCAGGTTTCACAAAAGCTACATCTGCTCGACGAAGCAGAATTAAAGGAATAACACGCTTGTATTCATAGAATCATAGAATGGTTAGGGCTGGAAGGGACCTTCAAAGGTCATCTAGTCCAACCCCCCTGCAAGGAACAGGGATATCTCCAACTAGATCAGGTTGCTCAGGGCCTCATCCAACCTGGCCTTGAACGTCTCCAGGGATGGAGCATCCACCACCTCTCTGGCCAACCTGTTCCAGTGTTCTACAACTCTCATGGTAAAAAATTTTTTCCTAAAGTCGACGCCATCTGTAGGAAAGATAGCTTCAAACACCTTCTTCTTCTGACCACCGACGAACAAACGTTCATCGCTGCGACACCAACGCGTGCCTACAGCCTCGTGCATCGAATCAGGGACTTTCAAATCACCTATTCTGCGTAACGACGTGGCACCTCAGAGGTGGCTCTCGTCCGCTCGTTACCTGCGCTCAGCTCCTCCGCCGGCAGGCACAAGGCGCTCGCGACCTTCTCCAAGACCTTCCTCATCTCCGGCCCTTCTTTGAAGGCGTTCACCTGGCACATGGCTGCGTCGTTCTCCTCCACCAAGGCCACGAACTTGGCGCAGTGGTCGAAAAAACGCATCAAGGAGTCGTTAACTTCGACCTCCGCCTCTGAAAGAGAAGGCGGGCCTCAGGGACGCAGCCGGGGGAAGCGATGGAGCCCCGCCACCCGGACGCAGCCCCTCCGCCGCAGCGGTGTCCCTATGGAAGCGGACGTGGGGTGCGGGACCCCTCTCAGATGTGGAAGACACGGGACTCCCTCAGCCCCTCCAGAGCACCGGGGGTCCCTCAGGGAGGGAGCAGGGGTCCCTCAGCCCCTCGGGGAGTAACGAGGGTCCCTCGGGGAGGGAGATGGGGGTCCCTCAGCCC